AGCTGATGTCACAGGGGGAGAAACAGGGGCCAGAGGGGTGAGGGGGGCAGGGGCAGCAGCCGCAGGGGACGTAGCTGAGATTGCAGGAGGCGCAAGAGGGCCGGGGGCCGCAGGAGCCACCAGAACAGGGGCCACAGGAGGAACAAGGGGGGTCAGGGGAAAAACAGGAGCTGTCAAAACTGGGCATCTAGGAGAGGCTGGTGCTGCCAGGGGGGCAGGAGGGGCCAGAGGAGAGCTTGGGGTAACAGAGGGAGATGCCAGTGCTGGGCTCGCAGGAGGAGAGCCTGGAGTGACCGAATCGGCTGGGACCGCAGGGGGGATAGCGGGAGGGGGGCTGGGCACTGGGATGCCAAGAGCTGCAGCTGGGAGCTTTAAGGGAGCGGAAAAGGTGGGAGGCATCAGAGCTGGGACCACAGGTGGGGAGGCAGGGGCTGCAGGGGGAGCTAGTGCTGGGGAGGGGGGCTGCTCTAGTGACACAGCCAAGCCCGTGGGGGCACTCGGAGAGGAGGGCAGGGCAGCGTGAGCGGCAGGGGCTGGAGCAGCATGAAGAGATGGAGAGAGAGAAACAAAGTGAACCAATGAGAAAAGAAAACCAAGGGAGCAAGGGGAGAAAGGTGAGTTATCCAGCGCGACCCCGCGTGGGCTGCAGTTCAGTTACCTGGGCAGACGGGCGGCCCCAGGCGATGGCCCTTGGGGCTCTCAAAAAGCTCTCCACACACAACAGACACCTCCCCTCCCCTCCCCCAGGGAGACGGATCAATGTATTTTAACACACAAACCCAGGACATGCCCCGTACGAGTGCCTGACAAGCCAGGTGGAGCGGTCGGTGTCTGGTTGGTTCGGTGTTTGCCTGGCTCTGGAAATCCCGCTCTGGCTTCGGTGGAGGATGCTGTCCCAGCAGACTGGTACAAGCATTCAATTCTTCTCCCAAAGGGATTCTGGGAGCATGGGGGAAGTTACACACGCCTGTGCTTCACACAGTCCAATTCAAAGCTTGGCTCCCTCAGCTAATATGGAGGTGTGGTCGGCAGAGGCGGCAGGCCCGGGCATGCAGGGCTCCACCTGGATCCAAACAGGGCAGGATCCCATGCCGGGCTTCGCGGGCACCTGCATGTTAAAGAGGAGTCTGGCTGCAAACCGCCAGGAGGGTTAGCTTAGGCCCTGGCCTTTGGGATGCCTGAGAACAGGAAGGAAACATCACACGTTGCCGTACAGCTCCTGAAAGTGGCGGTTTCATCGTCCCAACACACCAGGCGCTCACACGCATTCTTTATCCCAGGAAGGCAGCCCTCAGATCCTAGGAGCAAACACTCCCTCCTTCTCTAGCCTCATCCATCCACGGTGCTTTACAAACATGCAATTCAAGGCCTCGGGTGCTCCTGGAATGCAGGTTTTCTTTTACACATAAGTGAACTGAGGCACGCGGCGGTGACATGGGAGAAGAACCCAGGAGTCCTAGCTCCCAGGCTCCAGCTCTGCACTCTTTGCTAAACGGTTTTGTTAATGGACTACCCAGCACAGCAAACATTGTTAATGAGACGCACGGGGGGGACAGGAGTTCAGAATACCTGACACTTGAACAGGAGGCTCAGAAACAGCGGCTGCGGGCGCTGCAGGAGCACCGGCAGGAGGGGCAGGGACAGCAGGAGCTAAACAAGCAAGAGTGAAAGGTTATTACCGACAAGTCCTTCCCACCAGGAACTGCTGCAAGCAAGAAGGTTCTGCTCCATTTCCAAGACAAACCAGGTCTCGCAAGAATGGTGCCGCTCACCTTTCACCTCTGGAGACCAGAGTTCAAACCCAGGCTGGGCCGCAACCCAAGCGAGCTAGCGTGGGGAAGATGGATCCAGGACAGCGTTGTCCTGATGATTCTGCTGGTCAGGAGCGAGGTGCACCGGACCAGCTGCACACCAGAAACAAGCCGCGCCTGCCCATCTGATATAGAACTCTAGCGAGGGGCATCAGCCCTTTACTTTCTTGAGCGCTTGATGCCCCCCAAGCCTCCAAGGGAGAGAGCCCAGTGAGGTCTCTGGAAGAGGGTGGCAGAACACTGAACTAGGGAGAAACCTGCGTAGTCTGTAGGGAAGGGCAGGGGAAGAGGCTGCGTTTGGCAGCGTACGTGAACGAGCTGGTTCCCGTGAGCAGCAAACTGCTTAGCAAAAAGCTGCAGGCATGTTGTTTAGTACAGCAGGCAGAGGGGTCAGGCAAGGAGAAGGGCTGACCTGCTCCAGTTCATATTCCACCATCAGGTACAGTTCCACTGGAGACATTGTGACTCACGCAGCCTGGGGCAGCTTGCAACCCCAGAACGCCAATAGTTAAACAGGAACAGCAGAGCTGCTTGGGCTGTTACACCAGTTAACCCAGCATCGGCTTCCAGGGGCTAGGAATGAGGGGGGCTTCATGAGGAGCAGGAGGGTGGGGAAGAGGTGGTCTGTGCCCAGCAGGCCTGAGGCGTGGTCTGCAGGTGTCTGGGATGCAGAGGGCTTCTCCGCATTGTTCTCCTGAACAGCTTGAGAATAGAAGGGAAATGCCTTTTGTGAGTCTGACGCCTGGCTCCCACTCCGGAGGGCCAGGTCCTCTCCCAGCAGGGCAGTGCTGACTAATACAGCATGCAGGTAACCCCAGCGCTGCACTGAGCAAGTGGCTACGGCTTTCACTGACCCTCCTGCTCGGGGGGTGGAGAGGGAGGGAGGGAAGAGGCTGCGTCACTGGGATAGACATACAGGAAGCTGCAAACCTACTCACCCTCATAAACCACGCTGCCTCCCTGCTCGTGCTAAGAGACTCCCCTCAGCCCTACCTCACTAGCTAAGATGCCAGGCCAAACTCTAAGCTCTTGCCTGAACCAGGTGATAGGAAACCCCAGGTGCTGACATTCAGAGAGCTGCAGCCCTGATCCAGGTAGGAATGACTGACTCCTTTATGTGTCAGCCACGGATTTAGGGAGTGTGCACAAAAGCCGCCTTGCATAGGTCACTTGACTGCTCACTCAGTGGCAGATGCCAGCCACACCCCCTCAGCCTTTCCCAAATCGGGTTTAGTGCCAGTCAGAGACCAGAACCTGTCATCTCTCAGCTGCTGAGAGCCAGACAGCTAGGCCCAGTTCTGCACTCAGTGCACCAAGGAATATGTCTCCAACCAGTGGCCACTTGTGGGGTGAGGCCCCAAAAGAAAGCCCCCTCCCAGCCCCAAGGAAAGCGAGCAGGAGTTGGTTTCAAGCGTTAGTGAAATGTACGACAATAAAACATGGCAGATCCCAGAGTAGAGTCTAAAATTGGGAGTCCTGTAGCAAGGGGGAAGAAAGGCCCAGCACATGCCCCCCAGAAGTTACCGGCTTCCAAGTAGGGAAACCAATCGGTTTCTTAAAGGGGAACTACCAAATCTAACAGAGGGGCGCTAATCTCAGAAAGGTGCTGAGCCGAGCATGAACCAGGCGGCAGTCCCCATAACTTTCCCTCTGAAAAATTCTTTCCAGTCTCCATGAGGCCTTGTTGATCCTTCCACATTCACTCAAGATGCCTCAGACATGATCACTCTGGACATCACTGAGACACGATTGCCACGCAGCCGCCAGCTCTAACGCCCCCCCACCCCCATGTGCTCCAGGGGCATCTCCTGCCAGCCCAGGAGCAGTGGATTTTATTGAGGCCACAAACAATTGGTGAAGGCTCCTAGTAACTGCGCTGCGGGGGTGGCCAATGAAGCCCCACACTGTTGGTCCTCGGGAGTTCAGCAGCGCGTTACGCTCTTTCCACGGGCCAATCTAACTCCCGCAGAGATACACCTGGGTGGCAAGAGGTGCGATGAAACCAGCTCAGAGATTAAACCACACACACACACGGAATCGTACGCCCCACCAGGCTTCGGAAGAGTCTGCTCAATGCGGAGTTGGTATTTCTAATGCCCTAGATGAGTCAGAGCCCGATTTTATTTTACAGACAGGGTAACTCTTCGCCCCCCCGCCCCCCCACTCTACCTCCTGTAGGAACTTGAGACCTACCTGAAGGCTCCAGAGCAGACTCGGCCTGTACAGCCTCAGCCTGGGAACCCACTGCTCTGGTCTGCTCAGCTGCCAGTGTCACTCCTGTGAGAGGCCAGCTTGCTTCCCCGGGGGCCGGGGGAGGAGTTACTGCAATAGCATCAGCTGTTGAGAACACACCACCTACTACCAAGACCCACCAACCTTTATATACTCCATGGCGTGGGAAGACACCCAAGAGATGAGAAGAATCAACAGTGGGGAAAACGTGAGAGTTATCCTCGGAGACCCAGAGAAAAACCATGCCCGGGGACGCTGCAGCTCTGTATTCACCCAAGGGCACAAATGGTGCCTGAGAAGTTACCCTGCCATCGGAATCGCATCTACCCCTCAATGAGGCCTTTAAAGAAAATGACAGCATGCCAATACTGCTAGTCACACTGAGCTACCTACTTGACTCATGACCAACAAGCACCACTTAACCATCATGCTGAGAACTGGACTTTAGCCCCACCCACCTCCCTCCAGGTTATTTCCCTTCACAAAACCTTTCCCCCAGCAGCGTTTGATCATCCATATGGTCCCAATTTTTCTTGTTGGCCCCAAGTCAAACTCACACAG